GTATTCGACCTCAGTCACATTATATAGACATGTATACATCTTAATCTCATTACATTGCAACATTGACATACAGCAGTTACCAACCGCTTGAAATCATAACCAGACTATGCTCTGCAAGATGTCATCAGGAATATGAATAGAATTGTCTTATGCAGAATGAGGCCAATATTTGGAATATTACTGTAAATATTATCATTGAGATCATTCCACTTGTGTAAAATATGTGTAGTTAAATAGTTTACATAACTCAAATGGAAATCGTATCCAGAGGGTGTTCATGTTATCTTGGATCCTCACAATAAATACTGTATTGCATTCTATGCTGTTTACCATATAGACCTGAGATGTGACTTTAAGAATAAATATACGTAATATATATTGCTCTCTGAGTGTTACAGCAGCCATCTCATTATCATAGTCTTTTCAGTCTTTACTCACCATAACAAAGAGATTTCCCCATTCCTCGTATGCTGTATGTTTTGTACCCTTGTGAAAAATTAATTTGACTAATCGCAATATGTTTTTTTGTGAGCGTTCATTTAATCAGCATTTGCATGCCTCTGTAATCTGCCCTCAGTCTTTGACATAGTGCTGACAGGGACACGGTGCTAAGAATAGAGAGGCAGGGAACAATGGAGCTGAACTTTGATGGTCAGTAATGACGCGTGAAAGGCAAGCATTCACATGGTTGTTCTGCACTGTGCAGCCATGACGGTGATGGAAAACTGTGATCTCCTGTCTCAGCTGTAACAGCAAAGCTGCTCCGCGGGGGGTCCATCTGTTGACTCCACTAATGTTCGCATGGTAAAATGCACACGGCACTGAGACGCAAGATGAATAGGTCATCATAGGGTCCTTCCTGCCGTGTTTTGTATTTTTTTGATATTGTTGCACTGCACAGGTGAATCAACATGCTCTCCAGCAGAGTGCAGTGTTTAACAGTGTTTCCCTTTTCTATGACATGACTCTGAAAAACAAATCTCCTAATGAATGAAATATGTTCACGAAATATCAAAACATAAATGCAGACAGACTCATGGCAGTGGCTGGAGACAAAACTAATTTACCTAGATTATCAACCATTTCCATATGTTCAACTATGACATGACCTGAGTTAAGCCTAGCGATGGCATATTACAAACTGAACTGACGGAACGTGTGAAACTGAACCGTTGTCTCATCATGATTTATGCATGATTTTTCCCCACCTCCACACTCCGCCTGCAGAGCCTGTGTGTATTATTGTTGTGGGTGTGGGTGTGTATGTGTGCATAGCCCCACACTGCATTTTTTTATTGGAACACAAACAGTGCCGTGACAGAAGAGGCATAGATGATATTTGGTCCGTCAGCAGTTGCTTAGTTCTTCTTGCCAGATCCATCTTCAGCATGTACAGTTTGAAGGCATTTAGTTTAATGCATTTCATAACACCTTTCATAATAAATATTAAATAATGACTTCATGATGATTTAATAATGCAGGTGGAGTGAATGAATTGTTCATTATTATTTTAATCATTTATACATACCAGGACGTCATCAATACTGATGCAGTTAGATGTAGTGTTGAGAGAGATATTGGCATATGACTATGATGACAGTTAAACATTGCAATAATATCAAAACTGTCAACATATCAATATGCACTTTGAATTTTTACTTCCATTATGGAATAAATCTCTTGATTTTATCCTGTTTTATAGTGCAGACACCCGATAAACCTTTTCTGAATTCTTCACAAGCAACTGAGGGAACTTCACTTCTTTTGCTTTGATACATGAATACATTTCATCTTTCTCTCTTTTTTTTCATCCTGAAGGAGAAAACATCAGGGACATGTGAAAATGATCTATTTTTAAAGATGACTACGTCTGGCTTTTTTTTGGTAAATGCATTTATCCAGCATTAAAGCCCTTTACAACATATGTCTCATTCATCCATTCACACACATTCACAAACAGCATCAGGAGCACTTAGGGAAATGATGTCTCGCTCAAGGACTCTTTAACAACACACCCTGGAGAAGCCAGGAATCAAACTGAGAAACATCTGATCATCAAACCACTCCTCCTGAGCAATGCCTCGTCAAAATGTTTTCTTAAAAATGCATCACATTAATAACAGTAGTAAGGTTGGGTTCTGACAGCAGTTTCCTTTTTGGTGGATGTTTGTTGGCACAAAGGATTTAGGACCATTATGTTTTGTTTTTTTGTTTTTTTATGAAGGATGATCAGGGAAGAAAAGATTAAGAATGCCAGTTAGATGATCAGTAATCATGCCTGAATAAGTATGTGGATTATGTTAATGAGTTACTAATCTGGTAAACCATTTAGTTAAACCACTTGAGTTCAAGTTTCATAGTCATCAAAGGTTAGATTTCACGAAGATTGGGAATTTGTAGAAGGAAATAATCAAGCAGTGTTTCAGCCTAATAGCAGTGACCTTTAAACAGTCTGATTGTTTAAGTCAAATATTTGTGAATGATTCCAGGCTGATTGCATAGTTTACATGGACACTAATATTAGGACATGGGGTATTCCAACCTTTGTCCCGTTATGTAGACATGAAAATGTCTCAATCTCATCACACACACAACATTCACCAACTGCTCTACGTCACGTTACATTGTTTTGAGTGTGATATTTGAACTATTTCAGGTGGGGGTTTTGGTGGAGACGCCCGACGTATGCCGTAATGGATGAAACAGTGATTATCAGATTATGCTCTGTAACATTTAAAAATGAATATAAATGGAATATTATATTAGCCACTCATGTAAAGATAATCAGAGTCATCTCTTAAGGTCACAAGACAATTGAGAGAACTATTGTCCTGTTGTCATTCTGATATGCTCTATATCTCTATTGACATTTTAATGGCTGTAGATTAAGGTCACTGTCTATGTTGGTGTTTTTGGACCTCATCATTGATTTTGACAAGACAGTCAGACTGAACAGACAGACCAGGCAGTGTCCTAGAAACAGAGCTCTAAGTGTTCATTTCTGTCTTTTAAACAGAAACCTTTTTGTGTTGTGTACGTTGAAAAACTAACATACTCGCTTTTACTCCATTATTCGTCAAAACCTGTTGTCCATTTATGATTTAACCAAAGGATTAGTGATCGACCTTGGTCATATATGTGTGTGTGTGTGTGTATATATATATATATATCTATATATATATCATATTACATTAGTCTTTTAATCACTTAAGCTGCATGGCTGCTGCTTTAAATCCCTCTACCAGAAACCTCTGAGTTAGTTTTGTCTTGGCCTCAAAGTATCTTCTGTGTTGCAGTCGGTGCAGCTGTCAAATCCCGCTTCTATTAAGGCTCTGGATCCTCTCCAAGATCAGACCTCCTCTCACTTATCCTATTTAAGAAAAGGCTTTTTCTTCCTTTTTCAGGCTTTTTTTCTTCCTCCAGGCAAGATTAATGAATGGCTGTCTACCTCTCTGACTAAGAGCTGCAACAAAACATACATTTACAGTACAGACCACATTCAGGCAGATTTCAAAACAATTACACTAGTCCCCTTTCACATTTCTGATTCATTCAATCTGTATCAGCTTCCACAGAAAGCACATTTCCTTTTCTGTAATAGCTCTTTGACTCTGGATCATCTTGTTTCAACATTAAGCCTGTATTTTACATGTACTGTTGTGTAGCATTCTGTTCCCAAAACAAATGTTATATGAATTAGTATTCAAAAGCTGTAAAAGATTAATTTGAATATGATGTAGTCATAAATGGCTCTATTATAATATGTCCTGTGCAAACAGGATGTGCTCTGTCTTCCTCTGTGTCAGTAGACAGATAAGTTATCACTGCTATTTCTTTGTCACCTTATAGATGCCCAGCTGAGAATGCCATACGTGCAGAATCATCATTGTTGTGATGCTAATGGTTTAGGCTTTGAGAAGAACACATCTTGGGTTTACTATTGATCTTTTTATATGCTGTATTTTATTCCTAATCTCAAACAAGTAGAGCTGTAACAATTCTCCAAATCAACAGTTTGGTCCGCACCTTATTTTCTCATTTTAAGGGGGGTGGAGTGGATGCGTAATTTCTGGGTTTTATTAAAACATCAACATTATGCTTCACATTAAACTTCATAAGCCTTCCTATAAACAATATGTACAAGGCACTCACTGTACTGTCGATGGTCAAATCAGGCATAAGTCGGCCAGCAGCTCCAGGGAAACTACAGAGAATAAACATTTCCAATCTTACGACCTCACACTCAGTTCTCCAAGCTATTGGCCACTTCTGTGTTGGTTCAGCGTCGCTGTTCGTCTTCACGTATCTTTTCAGCCCTACCAACAAGACTTACACTCCCACTCCGATGACTTGCTTTGCGATGGTTTTTACCATATTCCATTTATGTTTTTTCCTTGGTTTGCTTGAGAGTTCTGCCTGTAAAACCTGACAGTTTTAGTATTTGCCCATATTCTGCAAAATGTCCAAGGTTTCATCATCAAACATTCATCACTATGGTGCACACTTTGGTGCCCTTTCAAAAGATAAACTCGTTAGCCATCACTCAGATATGCATTGTCTAGAGTGGTTGTGATCCATGAAGGTTGATGGTTAACTCTGATTTGTTTGTGGACATTGATAGACTGTTTAAGGGCTGTGATACGCTCAATGCTGTTTTTAAAGAAAGACATTAGGGATTGATAAACTTTGGCTGGTGCATGGTGGGGGATAGGCAGTGTACTTATCAAATCGGAATCTGACCATGTTTGAGTGTGTTTGTGCATCTGATCAGAACTGCTGCCCTGTTTCCTGTGATTGCTTATCATGGTATCTGCCTGTGTCTTGTATGTCTACGTGTAAAATATGCCTGCCTTCTAGATTATCTTCCTGTGTGTGTGTGTGTGTGTGTGTGTGTGTGTGTGTGTGTGTGTGTGTGGTTATACCTGGCTGCTTAACTTGGTCATTATCACCCTCAGCCTTGCTTGTACCTTGCAGTCCTTTCACCTCCCTCTAACCTGTAGGCATTAACCACGTGGAGACGGCGACACACTGGGGTACAAGAAGGACCTCTCCCCCTCTGGCATGGACACAAGCCGGGCTGACAGAGACCTCCTGTGCTGCAGCAGTGCCAAAATGTGCACACAGTGACAACAAACAACCTTGCAGCTTTTTTTACACAACTTCAGCATCAATATTCAAGGACTGACAGTTGGTGCCTTCCCCTTTAGCATTAGCTACAGCCGCTAAGTTAACAGCATTGGCAGCTTGGACTGTTGCATAGCCAATGTGTTAAGTGAGTGCGTGTAACTTGGCCCACTCGTCCCTGGCCAGACCAGCAAAGGAGTTGTGTTACACTCCCTGACAGGCCTTATACATGTTTCATCTGCTGCTCTCAGAACAGAAGCCCCCTTTGTTATCTAATCCAGCCCTCTCCTCCCCAGCCGAGAGACTGACTTTACTGCCACAAGACTGCTCTTCACAGTCTGTCAGCTAGCCACTGAGCTGATACATATCAACCAACAGCTGAAGAGCAGCAGAAGGACTTGCTCAGGCCCCAGATATCTGCTATCAGCGCTTCTCAGCCAGTCGCTCAAACCATTGGCTGGCACATGGACAGTGCTTCAAAATAAACAAGAGGAACTGAGGGGGCTGTGGGAGGTCCAACAAAGATTTTCAAGGATCTCAATTGTGCCTTGTCTATTCTGCACAAAACCACAAATTTTCTGTCTTAAATTCTTGGATCTAAGGATCTCAAAAAAGAGGTTCATTGGGGGTTGCATTTGTATTTTAGTAAGCCAGTTAGGACCATGAGTGACACTCTTAGACCTCCTTCACTCCAGGTGAGCGTCCCAAGCGATGCTCCGGAATACTCAGACGGAGGAAACAACGGTGTGTCTGATGGTTGCCTGCGATCCAGCTCCTCAACCCCAACTCTCCGGCGCAAGCGCTTCAAGATGCGCCGCATGAGGAACGTGCCCAGTGAGAGGGAGATCGAAAGAGGGCGGCTGAACAGCGGTCACCTCACAGCTCGGTCCCACTCCGGCTCCAAGGAGTACCTCCAGCTGCCTTCCATTGAGATCACGCCGTCCAGCGACGAAGATGCCCTGTCTTCCTGGTCCAGCTGCTCCACGCCCAGTGCCTCACCTCGCCGCAAGCGTTTCCTGTTGAGGAAGTGGCTGAAGGTCCGAGAGAAGAAGGAGCATGTCAGTGAGAGCAGGTTGGTATGGCCCCCCCCTTACTCACCTCTCCCCATTCCCTTCCTCTCCCCTAATACCTCCATGCTGCTGCAAGGCTCCTGCTACCTGCACTAATGTGGTTTATCACTAACTGAAAGATATTTCAGTTTTGTCATGTGAGGTATTTTAGAGTATTGAACATTTAGACATGTGTTAGCTTGAGACTTCGTTTAGCTGTTCAGAGTTGGATACTTGCTCAACCGCTTGCAGCTCAATAACCACACACATTGATTGTTTTACTGGCACAATCTTGTGCCCAGTCTGAAACACAAAATGGCCTTTTCACTTTATAAAACAGTTGCAAGCGTCTGCCTGTAACAACACAGCACTAATGGTAGCAGACTGATTCACCGCCCTGTGTCGTTATATCTGGTGGTTATGTTTTCACCCCTGTCTGTTTGTTTTAAATGACAGAAATTGTGGTTTGGACCCAGGGAATTCCGCTTTTTTAACATTGTGATACAGTGTGTTTTGTGAATAAACTACAAGTCTTGATTAAATCAGGCACATTTATGGAACTCATATCTATGAGTGGTGCAGCTTGATTGGATTTAAGTGGTCTACTGAGTGTCATTCTAGTTTCCCATGTTGCTGTAGTTTGTTTCAGGTTTAAAGGTGATTTGTTGTGAGATACACTGACATCTGAGATAAAGTATGTGATAGAGGCACTAAGAAGAAAGGTCATAAAGTAACTCAGCCTTTACAAAGTTGTATTTCATCAATTTAAGTAATTTCACCTGTAAATATATTTCTGTCAAAGTCTGCAAATCGTAATAAAACTTTACAGAATCTGGTGCTATGAATTAGGCAAAGTAACCAGAGAATTCTGACCAGCTTTATTACTGAGTTGCAGCAATAGTAAAATTGATTCAACCAGAGCAAAATTCAAAATGTAAAAACTCATTCATATGTTTCTGTAATAAACCTTTGTCTCATTTAACTGTTATTAGTCACATGAGATTTAATTGAACGTGACCCACTTATTTCATTTTTGTGGAAATAATGGCGTCTTCTCGCAAGCAACAACAACTGCAGTTCTGTCGGAAACAAAGAAAAAATAATGGTCGTGTTTTGTCTTGTTTCTCTGTGCGCTAACAGTTCTGTTGTCAGTGGTAACAGATGGCAGACAGGAACAGGCTCATTACTCACTCCATCAATGTGTTATCTTTGTCTGAGTTCAAGACACCTACTCTCCAGAGGCATGTGAGCGTAACCCTGAGTGTGAAATACTGTCACTATCCCGCGCACCATGAGTACAGCTCCACTCCCCTTCAGGGTGTAATGTATGGACCGTAGTAACAAGCATTCATCCGCTTCATACTGTTCTGTAGCATTAAGACGACACGGCTCCTCCTCGGTCTGCTCCTTGTTACCATCTGCATGTGGCATATAAAAAATTCTACAGGGTTAACGCTGCGTGGGAGTGGCATAAATAATCAAAATCTTAATGTTTATCTTCACTTAATTATTTATAAAGCAGAACAAGCAGTTTTTGTCATGTAAGGTTGCGAGGACACAACATGCTGCTGTACACTGTGTCCTCGCAGAACGCTTTCTTACAAGTCAGCACTGTTGTCCACATCCGTTAATTATTGCTGCCTGGTGGGCAGGTTGTTTTTGAGTTAGTGCTGTTTATTTTTGCAGTTTTTTGACAACCTCATATTTAATGAAAGGCTGTTCCACAATATCAACATTGTAAAATTGGCAGCGTCTGGTGAATTAATTTGAGTCACTTGCAAACACATTGACTCTGATGTTAGGGTTGGATGATATGACCTAAAATTGATATCATGGTATTGGTATGGTACTTTTTTGGACAGTAACATTGTTATATCACAGTATAACTTCTACCCTTGATGCTTTTATTCCTCGGTTGGGCTGCTCCCTTTTTACCATGCACCTTGCATGAAGAAATTAGGCAGTTCATTTATCAGGGTAATGACAGTATTGCAAAACCCATGTTGTGGATACCCGTATCTGGTGTTGTAGACATGTAGGTCCACCATGACGTCTGTATATATATGTGTATATATATATGTGTATATATATATATATATATATCTTGATTGGATTGCCATGAATTTCCAGGGCAGTTATGTTTTCCTCTGCATTTTTTTGTTTGTTGTTTAGCAGGATTACACAAAATCTACTGGAGTGGTTACCATTACATTTGGTGGAAGGATGTGGTCTGGGTCAGGGTAGAACCCATTATATTTTAGTGTAGATGCAGATCAGTTTGCAGATCCAGGAATTTTTCATGGATCTTGATTTTCAAAAATCGGGCATGTTTAGAGGATGGATATTTATAAGCAATTTGGTACAGATCCAGTTATAGATAATCTGGATCTATTGAATATACAAGTGTTGTCATGAGGGGACTGTTGGGACCTTGGCAGAGGTATGCGCTCTTTTGAGTGCCCCTCTAGTTAGTAAGTGTTACCATGCTGTCTAAACCAGTGGTCCTCAAATGTGTGGGGGTCTGGGAAACGTTTTCAGGTTCAACCATTAAGATGATCATGAAATGTGGGTGTTCTGTGTTGACACGATGAAAACGTTTTAAGTCTAATGCTTTTAGACTTTTCTCATGATTTGTTCTTTCCCATAACTAAGTCGTGTTGATGCTCTACGCATTAACATCAGCGTGCTAACGTCAGCACTGTGAGCATGTTTGCATGCTAGTGTTAGCATTTAGCTCAAACCACCGCAGTAGACTCAGAGTTGCTAGCATGACTGCAGACTCTTAATCTTGACAACAGCCATGTTTACAAACTGTGTGTGAAAGTAAAATAAGTGTCCACGAAGTGAATATGTGAGATAATTGAAATGCAAAGGAGGAAAGAAGTCTTACAGAACTACTCAAATAGTTTTACTAGTTTGTCCCTCCTCCAGCTGTTAGGAATTAACTGTTTATTCTTAATTAAATCATGATTCCTTAAATTTAACTCTGAGCAGGACTGACTTGTCACTGTGATTGTATGAATTCAGGTCTTATGTAGATTCTAAAAAAGAGTTGCAAATGGAAAACCATATCAAAGTTTTAACCATGTGACTAAGCTTTAAACTTTACAGTGGTCTGTCTCGAAGCGTAACAGTCGTATGTTGTTTCTTGCTGCAGTAGTTTAGTCCTTAAACAAGTCACTGGACTTTTACCTCATACATTAGGAGTGACACTCATGACTGCCCAGCACTTTGACCCTCTGAAGTAGCTGTTTGCTTAAGCTACAATTTCACAGTTCAATCATGCAATACTTGTGGGCGATATGGCCAAAAATGATATAAATATTACAATCTTTGTGAGTCAATATTGATGATATTGATATTTTTGACAGATCAGATCATCTGTGCACAATGCAGTACAGTGTGCAGTACACAAGTTTCTAGTTAATTATTTTCACTCACATTACTAACACACAGTTTGTGGGATGAAACCTGCTGTAATCGTCCAGTTAAAATACAAACATGGCAGAGGATTTATAGTTAACCACTTTCTTGAGGTTTGTTCACGAGGTCTGCAGTGTGGGATGTTGACGTGGGTTTTCTCTCCATGGAAGCAGATACAATTACTGTAAGTATTCAAAAAATATTTCATTAAGATTTAAATGAGGTCAGTCACGACAAGGCGTCTGTGTTCTGAGGGGAACCTTAGTCAGCTGTTCTTAGTCCACGACAGGTCTCAATCTTATCACCTTTGTTGGCTTCCTAATCTTGTCATTCAGTCTCTTTCCTGTCTTACTTTTTGCATTGCACAGGATGTGTATACTTTAAGGCATGTGTGGGCCTATATCTATGTATGTGTCTGTAGAACCTCTGTGTCTACAACAGGCTTGTAGACACAGAGGAATCTGTCGCTCTGCTGTCTGATAAGAGCAGGACTATTTTGAGGAAGTGGTTCAGCATCTTTCACCAGGCTTCATTGCTTCCACCTCGTCCAAACATTTACATGTTTCAGACGCCCAAGTCTCACAAGAGGCAAACAAGAAATCAAATGTGTTATTGTGTGATGTAACACAATGTGTATTTAAAGGAATCTCAATTCCACCTGTTCTTTAATTGGGTATCAATATCTCTCTCCATTATGAATTCAATAAATACAATATTAAAATCTTCGTACTTAAATAGCCGAAAATGTGAAGCCAACGTGTCTAAGATATGTTTTATAAAATGATAGAAATATAAAAATATTTTCTCCATATCCACATTATGTAAATACAACATTCATCCATACTTTATCTAAAATATATGGATTGGCTTGATATATTCTCCTTGAGGTTGTTTTGGACTATATGGTGCAAAAACATACAAAATAATGCATTTCGTGTGGTTTTACTTTATATGTAGACTATAGTTGGTTGTCACTCTATTGGACTTTTACTTTGTTTCATCTCCTTGCTATAATTTTCAAAGCACATATTGCATCAATTGTATATGAGTGCTAAATTATTCAGTGAGGGCCCATGCCATGTCAAATTTTTCAAATGAACATGCTCTAAAGGGCAGGGATACATGTATAAACAATTACATATACACGAACAAACACCACCTCCACACATGTCTGCTCTGAGAGAACAGTGTGCAGACACACTGCACCTGCAGCAGAGACACAAGGAGCAAAGACGTGGGAGTGAAATTGATATCCCACAATAAAAAAAAATTGGAAGATCAAACAATAATCCCATGTTTGTACATGATGCCAGCAGTTGTCTGGTAAATTCTTGACAGTAAAAGCCGAATCCTTAAAAAAATAACTTCCACTGGTTAAAAACAGTATCAATCATGTCAATTGTGTTCAGAGCAGCATGATAAGGTGAGGTTACCTTAGCTCTGTGCTACCTGTACTTCAACATATCAGTTTCATATTACATCCAGTGAGATGAACAGAGAAACAGCAGTTCTTTCCATCCAAACATATTTTTAGTTTTACATTAATTGTGCTGTATTTTCCAATGTTGTTTAGTTTAGCTTTATCGAACATGAAGTGCTGAATAGAATATCTCACACAAAACCAGCATTAAAAGTTGAGACTCTAAAGGATAAAAGACTGGGAGTAGTACTACTAGTATAGTATAAACCCATATTCACAAATTGTGATTTGTGAATATGGGCTATAAAAAAAAAAGATTGATTTAGTATACATACTGCAGTGTAGCTGAATAGAAAACAGTTTACATCATACTAACTATTAAACTTAAAGGTAATTTTCACAATAAATTCAGAAACTGAAATAATCTCTATTTGCCATATTCTGTAGGAAACAGCATGGCACCATGCAGAGAGTAAATTAATGAGGACTTTTCTCAACAGACTGCCTTTATTCTTAAATGTCAAATTCCGGACCGGAAGCAGAATCTTGAAATAGGGTGATCATCCATTTTTAAACACAAAAAGGAGAAAGAGAGGAGATGGAAAAATGTTTAGATAACAATTATCTAAACTTGAACCTCTGCAATATCTTTGGATAATCAGAAACCTGATTTCTGGGTGTATAACTGTTCATGTTGTTATGCATTAATGATTCTCTCTGTTAGTCATTTACACATCTGTAACCCACTTTAAGTGTCATCAAAACCTCATCTTGTGCATATCCTGTGTCATATAGCCCCCTCTAGTGTTATCTTTGGATTTGTGCACAAAATACAGGAATTTTATCACTAAAGTAACAGACAAAGTTGCTGTATATAGTCGACAGTTGCTGTATATATATTCGTCACATTTTATGCAGGAGCTTGGACAGCTGCTTTTAGGCCCAGCAGCTATATGTTTATGACGGGAAGCGACATCTTTTAGATAATGTAGTGCAATACAATAAAATATGTTAAAATGTTAAAAATGAACTGTATACATATTTAAGTTAATTTATATTATACTTTATTCTGTTGATGCTAAAGTATTATTTTCATATTCAAATGAAGGCTTTTTTACATAACACAAAATGGACACAACCAACACATGCACATTTACAGAAACATATTGTGATGACTGACTAACACCTTGTGTGTCCCATGCAGCAGCCAGCAGAGCAGCCAGCAGAGCAGCCTACAGAGCAGCCATGAAGACGACAGCACTCGGTTCCTGACTCCATTAATCCTAGAGGAGAGGTGAGCTGTCTGTGTGTTTCCAAATGTAGTTCGTGGAACTCTTTTTGAAAAAAATTATTTAATAAATGGTTTTAAATTAAAATCATAGACTTTAATCCAGTGAGGATCTAGGATACAGTCTATTTCATATTTCTACTGTATCTATTGTACCAGGTCACATGTAGATTCATGCTGCTGGGCGGAATAATCGACCCCAAATGTCATTGTGGTCATAGTTTTCATGACGTCTGTTCATTTGCTGCATGAATTCTCCACTAGAGGGCACTTCCTCCCTATTCTGATGTCCATGGTGGTGATCTGCAGAGATACTGCTGTACTGTGTGATCTGTTTGCTTGATTAAGATTTTATTTTGAAGTAGAAATAAAAGCCTTTTTCCCCACCAACATTATTTGTCTTTGAAAAACTCATTTGGTGAGAATACATTCACAAACACCGATTCTGTCTCTGATGTGACATTAATGAGCATCCAGGTCTAATTTCTTTGACAGTATAACCAGGCTTTTCCAGGTAGTGTCTGGCTAGTAAACAGTGATCTGACAGTGGCCACATGTAACTCCTGCAGCGATTAGTGTCTGTGCTTCCCTGTCGCTCAGTTTGAGATGAGAGACAGGCACCATCATTAGCGTTTCATCTCCCGGGAATACGCTGTGGTTGTCACAGGAGCACCAGTGACAGGCCTGGATGTTAAATCACTTACTGAACGTGGTGTGTTGCCGTGTGTACGTGTCTGTTTAAGCGTGTGTGTGCTGGCCTGGAATTCTACTTTAAACCTGAAGTAAATGAGTGCAGCAAGGAAAAATCTCTTGCCAGGTTGATTAGGAAATGGATCAGGAAATAATAAATACCTGCATTAGGAACTCACAAATCTGTTCTTGGCCGAGAAACTTTTTTATTATTAAAGTGAGTACGAATTACTGAACACACATTACTGAACAGTGACGCAGGTGTTTGTCTTCTTGTTTGTTGCTGCAGCCTAATTGTACTAAAACAGTGCACGTGCCTTGACTGAAGCAGATATACTAGAACTCTTTGCAAGATTTGCGTTCCACATACAGACAGAAAGATGTTTGTCGAAATAGTAGGTAGATGTCATAACTAAATCCTTCTTAATAAGGTCACAAGGCAAAAAGAAGGATAGGATTGTTGTTTCGGTCTGGCTAAACTCCAACATCTGCAAAAAATGTTGCACTGTATCCAAAATTCCGATCTCAGCACATTTTTTATTCAAACTGTTAAAATGTTCCTGGCTGCACAGAGAAAACGTTTTTTCTGATTTGTTCATTTTGCGGCAGTTTAAAGTAAAACAGAATTTATCCCAAAAATGCTGCAGGATGGGAAAATATCCAGGCTTCGTCTTCGTCTAGCCTGATTATAGGCACCCACTCAGCCGTCTCTGCCTTCAGCTGTGTGCATTGTTCATCACACCTCTTACTCTTTCCCTCCGTCCTGCACTCTTCTCTCTCTCGCTCCCGCACATTGTTCTTGCTCTGTGTCTCCACTCGCTCGAATTAGGAACAGTACCTATCAAACATATGGGATTTCTGGCTGCTCTTTTCTTTGCTGTGCTGGTGATAAGTAGTGAGGGGCGTCTGCAGCAGCTGCAGGAGGAGCAGCGTTCTGTAGCCGGCTTTAGAGGGCACGGAATGTCATGTCTCCTCTGCAGGTAAAAAAACCAGCTGCGGTTCTGCCGGGAGGTTGCACTGCTGCAGCTACTAAAACTCTACCCGTCTCTCCGTCTCCATGTCATCAGTCTTGGTTTTGCTCTTACTGCATCTCTGTTTCATCTGTTTGCCTCGTGAGTTACAGTTTGTTCAGTCTGCGTTTTTCGGGGGAAGTGACAGCAGGCTGTCTGCTTGTGTGTGTGTGCCACTGGCTGTGATTTCTTTCTTTTTTTCTGCCTCTGCCAGATAATCTGGGCATCCGCTGTGGTTCAGGGAGAGAAATAGATGAAGTCTGATGATGAAAACGAGGTCAAGTTTGCTCATTCACCGCCATTTTCTTTTATTTGTATCCTCCGCTATAACTGCAGATGGTGTTATGTAATATCCCGACATGGCTTTGCTAAGTCAGTGTAATATGACTCATCGGTGGAGATGACGCAGCACATGATTGTGAGTTGTGAATCAGGATTACACAGTGAGAGACAGGCGATCACTGGGTCAATATATTTGAATAAACCATAGTGAGAATACAATATTTCCAAGGTTGTCTTAATTATTACTTAATTCTCTGTGTATTAAATCATCCAATGCAACGTATCACACCATTCTTAGCCACTGCTAATTTCCAATGCTCGTCCCTAGAAGGGTCTTAAAGACACAACACATCAGAATTAGACTATAACATGTATTTTGTTGATGTTTTACAGCAATACTAGTCAGAGCACATATGTGTTTCCATATATGCACACAAACAAACCTAACAAACATAACCATATACAGTACTTACAGATGCATACATACCCAGTCCCTACACACAATGGCGAGATTGATCAACCTTCAAAACCTAAAATGTTAACAGTTTTGTTTCAAGCTCAATGGGCAATGTATTCCATGTGGAAGGAGGTGTTTCAATATGGTACTTTCCACTAGTAAAGTAGTGGTACTTCAGTAAGTGCAGTGGTATTTCTAGTTGATAATCCAGAGGACAGTTGCATCATGTCACAAGTGCTTGGCCATGTACACCAGGTAGTACTTGGGTATGAGACGTAGCTGTGAAAACGTAGCATGTGGTGAGAATGGTGCGATCTTATTGGCTTCTGGTCAGTTTGTATTGTATTGTATATGCACGATCATTATCCCAACTCATAAACTGGACTGCGACCATGATGTAATGAAATTTAAATGGAGTCCATATTTGTTTTGGCTGATCAAATGTGTAAATGTATAAATTCATTTTAGGGACGATGGATGTGAATCATGATTCTGTTTTACACTTTTTATTTTATACAACAAATCAAAACAATTATAAAATAATAAACGCATTAGAACTTAATGATATATAATTATACACATACAAATCATTTACTGATGCATTCAAAACTGTATACACTCACTATATAATTCAACTTGTGTAGTATAATGTTATCAAGCATACTTAAGCTTACTATACCTGTAAGTGATACTTAGTAGAAGTTATAAATGAGGAGTTTCACTTGTTGGCTAAACAGTGATGAAGACTAAAAATGTGCCTACAAATACATAATGGCATATTATGTTATAAATAATTCATCTATACATTTTACAGCACTTATAAATGGTAATTGGGGGATTTAAAGTGTCCATTACACTTTTTAGTAGTGCAGGGAATGAGAATACTGCTGAAAAGTGGTCTTGGGTACTTTAAATTACTAATCTATTATTATTGTTATTGTTATTATTGGGAATTTCATCGAAACGTAAATGACCGGCAGCTTATCCCACGGCTGAATCCTGTGTCCTCTCTTTTTTCTGTGCAGGTCTGACAGTGCAGCGGACAAATTCAGGTAAGTCGGCTTTCGGACTTCATTCCTCTCTCTGCATTTACCTATAGAATTGTGAGTGTGCATTGTATGTTGTATGAGTGTGCATTGTATGTTGTGTGAGTGTGTGTACGTTGTATGAGTGTATGTTGTTGGGCTTATGGAGCAGAGATACTGGTCTTGGTGTCACCCCACTCACCCCAGCATACCCACCGTGCACGTGACACAGATTCGTTTGCTTTGTCCGCCAACCAAGGTGTGTGAATGTGCTTTACATTTGGGGGAGGCCAGCAGTGAATACAGTTGCAAGGCGTGGAATGCTATTGTTTGCTTTTATTTGACAATCAACATCGGGCACAAACAGAGCTTTGTTAACTGGAAACCATTGTGGAGCTTTCAGTCTTTTAGCTGGCCAGCTGGTGGCAGCTCGCACACATGCACACACGCACACACACACACACACACACACACACAGACAGACAGACACTTTATCCTACAGGGGTTGAAGGTTTCACTGTCACAAGAGATGCTGTGCCATTGCTGAAGTAAAGGGATTTAAAAGGTGAGTGAGGGTGATGCATCACATGAGGATTTGTTGGAACAGAGAATTTAACAAATAGCAGATAGCCTGACTTATATGATGTGCTTTGATACTTTACATCTCACACAGGTTTCAGTCCATGTTACTTGTGTCTCATCTGAATCATTTTAACTCAAACTTTTAATTATCTGGTTGTATTTATATATATATCCATGATCGCACAGTACACTATAGTAGAATTTATAATAGGAATTCATACAGGATGAACATCATATATATATATATATATATATATATATCATATTATATTTTTAATAATAGTTTCCCTAATGATAGCTACATTTAATACATGTTGATTTGTGTGTTTTTACTGTGTACTTATGAGTGACAAATAGTAAAATTCACCCGAATGACTTGTGGTGAATTGGGCTCAGTTGTTTTTACCATATTGTCACGATATCGTGAGCTGAGCGAGGCACTGTGGTGTAGTTTTTTTTGTGAGCGCTCTGGTGTCTGCATGTGTGCGTGCGTGTGTCTGCTTCGGTATGCTTTGAGTGCTTAGTCATGCAAGTGGGGTGAGGAGCAGGCTGAACCATGTTTGAACCACTAGGAGTCTCTGTACTCCAACACACTACCATGATGAGGTTTATGTGGCTTAGTGTGCGTTTCCTGTGAGGTCACCCATTGTTGTGTAAAACTAGGGAACAGTAATCTGTAAAAGCGTATTGTTGAGTCTGTTTCTGTCGCTCTTAGATACACAAGTTTCAGTCTGATGACTGCATAGGGGCCGGGATGGGATGTTATTTTATGATATCATTTAACAAAGCTTTTTTAATTGAAATAATCACTTACTGCATATAAATGACTTGGAAGACAGCCTCATACAGTCAACCATAAAAACACAAATACAACTTGAAACATTCTTTTTTTGAAGTTGTTGAAACAAGCTATTGCTGGAAATCTTGTCAGAGCGCGAGCTGAGATGAAGGTGGTGGAGGTTTATGTTGTGGTGAGGTGCCCCCTGATTTTTTACACTGCACATCGGCGAAAATCATGAACCATGCATGTGAGGGACATGCAGGGTAACTCTGTAGGAGGACGACACTGAAGAGCAGGTGGATCAGTCAGACTCACCATGTGTCGCCTCCTGGTGTTTTTATCAGGAGGTTTCTCGTGGTGAAAGTTCATGTAGTGTTTGACCCATCTCACAAGACAGCAAGTTGTAATGTGAACTGCGTAGCAATCCACTGACCTTGAAAACTATGTAGTGTGAACTCAGCTTAAGACAACTAATCTTAAAGTAACTTAATATTACATGAAAATATATATATATATCCTTAATCTTCAAATAAGATAATGGTAAATCATCCCTGTCTTGCCTCCATCAGAGCACACATCTTGTTTGTTTCCCGTATCCTCTGTAACTCCTCTGTGTTTCCTAAGTGGTCTTGAGTTGCACAAACTTCCCGAGATCAATATATTGTTTTTTATAAAGCCAACTGTAAATAATGCATGTAGAAAGCCCTCTGCCAGGATTAAGTGGGCAATATGCAAGTGCATTTGGAAACTCTGTGCTTTGCATGTTTTAAAAAGGGATTGAGTCGGTTGCTGTCAGTGTGTGTGGAAGGCAGAGAGAAGCTCTGATGCTTGTACAGCTGACAGAATGACGTCTGCCGAGGTGAATAATGTGACAGTAACCAATCTTGTCCTTATAATGGTTGTTATAATACAGTTGCTCTATTGCTGTAGTCTCCAGAGAACAGCGCACTATCTGTCTTTTGTTCTAAATGTCCGCATTGCTCTTGCACCTTCTCAGTTGCTGGATTATCGATCATCGTCTGTGGTTTGACACATTAGCTTCCAGAGATTTTAGGTCAGCATAATCTGATCCTACTCTTTACTCTTTGTAGGGGCCTCAGAAAAGCAAGGATCGGGCATATTGAGTAAACGATACTCAGAAAGTAGACAAGCTCCCCGTTTCTTGTTACGGATGACTTTCAAACAAGGGAAGGAGAAGTCAAGTACAATTAGACAACAGATAGCATGTTGTGAGAGACTGATATTGATGGTCCATATTAATCAATTGAAATCATGGCAGGGCATATTTCATTCATAGATGTAGATTCAAGGTGCTGTACAGGGACATAAGAAACAAAACAGAGAAAGAAACAACAATTTAAAATCAGAGAGCAGATTTTCAAATTCCAAGCAGAATAACTGATTTAGAGGTTA